CACCTTCTCCTAATTTCCATACTCCGAATTCTCTGCTTAACCCTTTCAGGGTCCGTCCCGTAGAGCTACGGCTTTACGTTCAGGGTCCAAACTGTAGATCTACGTCATGAGCTCAGCTCACTCTGATAAACTGTGAGTGGTACATTTGGGCCAAGATATGAGAGAATACATCTATGTGGTATGTGTGCACCACATAAAACAGATCCTGCAGCACGCTGTGTATAATGAGAGAAAAAAATCTGAAATCATGATTTTTCGATTAAAACAGCGATTTTGTAGTGTTTTTTCGTATGTTTTTTATAGTTGTATTTGCGATTTCTTGGTCTCATTTGATAGAATGGAAGGCATATTACAGAAATAGAGATAATTTTGATTTGTTTTAGCACTGGAAATGGCTTGAAACTGAGCTCAAAGTAGCGGAAATGTTAAATTTTTGCCGATATTCAAGAGTAAACAAACGACCTCACACATCTAATACACACCAACTGGTGGGTCTAATATACATTCACAAATATGGTGATGATATTTATACAATTATTACAGTATTGCATAACAGTAAATCTTCTATTTTTTGGTGTGAATAAAAATTCATTATGTGAATAAAAAATCAAAATGGAATTTATTTGTAAAGCCTCAAAACATAACTAATGAACAGAGGAAATGTTAGTTTAGTTCCAGGAATACCTACATTGTTTATTCTGGACCCCATTTTGAAATTGGAATATTTTGAACTTTGTGTTAAATTGGCCAAATTAACAATTTCCGATCACTTTATTTCATAGTTGAAACAGTTGACTTGGCGATTTCTTGTGCTCAATCGATAGAATACAAGTAATACTAGTGAAATAGCTAAGAATTTGGTTGACTGGAATAATGTAATTGGCCTAAACTGGGAGTCAAAGTCGGCAAAATCGCCGATTCGTAAATATCGCTGACACATCAAAATTCGCGAGAGCATAATTTCGTCAATTTTCCATCAAATTTTGTACTTTTTGTTTTATTACCTTCACAAAAAGATTCTCTACCATTTCATAAGAAAAAATAACAAATTTTTTTTTTGAAAATTCTTGGACACTGGGGCACCACTTCAGATTTGGGCCTTGGACCCTGAAGGGTTAATATTTACACCACACATTGCCCTAAGACAGGACATCTCCAATGCCTCCAACCACCTCCTCATTGCAGCATTTACAACCCAAGCTTCAAACCCATATAAAAGTGTTGGTATCACTATACTTTCATACATTCCCTTCTTTGCCTTAATAGATTATGTTTTTGGTCTCCACATATGCCTCAATGCACCACTCACCAATTTCTCTTCATCAAATCTATGGTTAACCTCATCCTTCATAAATCCATATGCTGACAAGTCAACTCCCAAACATCTGAAAACAGTGTGACTTTGTCAATGGTCCAAGTCGGACCGAAACGTCGTCGTAAGCTTCTCTCTTTTATGTGCGGGTTATTTGTGTATCATTCCAGTCACGGTATTGTGCCTTTTTGTTATTTATCTGAAAACATTCAATTCTTCCATATTCCTCCTCTCCAATTTGATATCCAATTTTTCTTTATCTAAATCATTTGATACCCTCATCACCTGACTGTTTTCTATGTTCACTTTCAACTTTCTACCTTTACTATCCCAAATTCTTCCACTAACCTTTGCAACTTTTCTTTAGAATCTCCCATAAGCACAGTATTATCAGCAAAAAGTAACTGTCAATTCCCATTTTGTATTTGATTCCCCTTAATTTAATCTCACCCCTCTCCCCAACACCCTAGCTAAAATTTACTTTTTTTACAACCCAATCTATAAATATATTAACCCTTTCAGGGTCCAGAGGCCAAATTTCAGTGTGCACCTGGGTCCATGAATTTTCAAAAAATAATTTTGTTATTTTTTCTTATGAAATGATAGCGAATCTTTTTCTGAAGGTAATAAAACAAAAAGTACGAAATTTGATGGAAAATTGACGAAATTATGCTCTCGCGAATTTTGATGTGTCAGTGATATTTATGCATCGGCAATTTTGCCGACTTTGACTCCCATTTTAGGCCAATTACAGTATTCCAGTCAACCAAATTCTTTGGTATTTCACTAGTATTACTTCTCTTCTATTGACTGAGCACAAGAAATCGCCAAGTCAACTATTTCAACAATAAAATAAAGTGACCGGAAATCGGTAATTTGGCCAATTTAATGCAAAGTTCAAAATATTCCAATTTCAAAATAGGGTCCAGAATAAACAATGCAGACATTCCTGGCACTAAACTAACATTTCCTCTGTTCATTAGTTACATTTTCAGGCTTTACAAATGAATTCCATTTTGATTATTTATCCACATAATGAATTTTTATTCAAACCAAAAAATAGAAGATTTCCTGTTATGCAATACTGTAATAATTGTATAAACAATATCACCACATTTGTGAATGTATATTAGACCCACCAGCTGGTGTGTGGGATAATTTGTTTACTCTTGAACATCTGCAAAAATTTAACATTTATGCTACTTTGAGCTCGGTTTCAAGCCATTTCCAGTACTAAAACCAATCAAAATCATCTCTATTCCTGTAATATATCTTCCATTCTATCAAATGAGACCAAGAAATTGCAAATACAACTATAGAAAACATATGAAAAGACACTGCAAATTCGCTGTTTTAATCGAAAATTACGGTCTCAGTTTTTTTCTCTCATTATGCAGTGTGTGCTGCAGGATTTGTTTTATGTGGTGCACACATACCACATAGAAGTATTCTCTCATATCTAGGCCGAAATTTACTGCTCACAGCTTATCAGAGCGAGGCGAGTTCATGGCGTAAATCTATGGTTTGGACTCAACGTAAAGCCAGAGATCTACGGCATGGACCCTGAAAAGGTTAAACAATCATGATGACATTACACATCCCTGTCTAAGACCTACTTTTCCCGGGAAGTAATCTCCCTCTCTTCTACACACCCTAACCTGAGCCTCACTATCCTCATAAAAACTCTTTACAGCATTTAGTAACTTACCACCTATTCCATATACTTGCAACATCTGCCACATTGCTCCTCTATCCACTCTATCATATGCCTTTTCTAAATCCATAAATGCAATAAAAACTTCCCTACCTTTATCTAAATACTGTTCATATATATGCTTCAATGTAAACACTTGATCTACACATTCCCTACCCACTCTGAAGCCTCCCTGCTCATCCGCAATTCTACATTCTGTCTTACCTCTAATTCTTTCAATTATAACCCTACCGTATACTTTTCCTGGTATACTCAGTAAACTTATTCCTCTATAATTTTTACAATCTCTTTTGTCCCCTTTCCCTTTATATAAAGGGACTATACATGCTCTCCGCCAATCCCTAGGTACCTTCCCCTCTTTCATACTTTTATTAAACAAAAGTACCAACCACTCCAACACTATATCATCCCCTGCTTTTAACATTTCTGTTATGATCCCATCAGTTCCAGCTGCTTTACCCCCTTTCATTCTACATAATGCCTCACGTACCTCCACCACACTTACATTCTGCTCTTCTTCACTCCTAAAAGATGGTATACCTCCCTGGCCAGTGCATGAAATTACCGCCTCCCTTTCTTCCTCAACATTTAAAAGTTCCTCAAAATATTCTCGCCATCTACCTAATACCTCCATCTCCCCATCTACTAACTCCCCTACTCTGTTTTTAACTGACAAATCCATACTTTCCCTAGGCTTTCTTAACTTGTTTAACTCCAAAATTTTTTCTTATTTTCATTAAAATTTCTTGACAGTGCCTCTCCCACTCTTTCATATACAGGAAAAGGGGTTACTAGCCCCTTGGTCCTGGCATTTTAGTCGCCTCTTACAACACGCATGGCTTACGGAGGAAGAATACTCAACAGACTTATTCTCCTATAATTTTTACACTATCTTTTGTACCCTTTGCCTTTATACAAAGGAACTAAGCATGCTCTCTGCCAATCCCTAGGTACCTTACCCTCTTCCATACATTTATTAAATAAAAGCAATAACCACCCTAAAACTATATCCCCTCCTGCTTTTAACATTTCTATTTTTATCCCATCAATCCCAGCTGCTTTACCTCCTTTCATTCTACCCACCACCACATGCACCTTCCCCACACTCACAACTGGTTCTTACTCACTCCTACGAGATGTTATTCCTTCTTGCCCTATATATGAAATCACAGTTTCCCTATCTTCATCAACATTTAACAATTCCTCAAAATATTCCCTCTATCTTCTTGATACCTCTAACTCTCCATTTAATACCTCTCCTCTCCTAACATGTGCACTGAAAACACTCAGTAGAATACTGCAGTAAGCTTACTGGCCATGATAGGCAGGTCCAACTCATACCCAATCACTTCCACTCATGAATTTATCCTAACTATTTCTGAAGCTACCCAAAGTTTGGCAATAATTTTAGAATTACTCCTATCTGTGAGGCTTCAAAATATCCCCCTCTTGTCTTATGTTGGGGGTTAAGAAAAATCCTGATTATCTGAGAGATAGTACCCCCACATCCCTCTGTCTTATGGCAGGTAATATACGGTAAGATGAGTTAAGATGGGCTGCCACAACACCTGCTTGCTACCTCTCACACATCTTAAATTAAAATATAAAATTAGGTATTTTTCCTACAAGCAATACATAAAATTTATAACATTCTGCATCTACACAAAAATATTATTCTTATAAATAAACTTAAAACAGATTCATTGAAACAATGAAATAATTATTTCAAACATAAGAGAAACTTTTAATCTCAATACTAAAAGTGAATGGAAGAATTCTCTCTCTAGTACATCATAAATTATCTTTACAAAAGAATGAACTAACATGCACTGAAGGTGATAAGTTATAGTGTGTTTGGTGTGTCTATAACTGTCTATCACCTGATGGGTGACTGTACTGGTACCTATACAAGTTATAAGAGCATCATCTAGTGGTGGTAACTGTCTACCACCTATATAGTGCTGCTTAGCTCACCTGGTGTAGAGCTTCCATGCGTTGCTTCAGCTCCTGCTCTACGTCAGGTAACTTGGCATACTGTGCTAGTTTCTGTTCACTTAGTTCAACTTTTTCTTGTAGTGCTCGAATCTTGTCCTCTTGAAGCTATAACAAAACAATACTTTCAATACACAGTCAAGTGCAACAAAAAATTATAAAGGCATAAGTCAGTAAACAGTTTAGAGCAAATCATTACTCGTCAACACAGTCAATGCCGAATTGCAGAAAATATCTGCCTGGATGATGACTAATAAACTTACACTGAATACTGACAAAACCTACTTCATTCAGTTTGGAAACAAAGCTGCAAATGTTCCACTTAACATAATGCTAAATGGATTACCCATCACAAGACTCGAAGAGAAAATTCCTAGGAACCCACCTTGACAGTAGCATCAAGTTCCAGATATGTACATATACAACAAATAACCAAGAAAATCTCTAAGACTGTAGGCATACTATCAAAGATACGATACTATGTTCCACAACCAGCTCTCCTTGCACTGTATCATTCACTCATCTACCCTTATCTCACATATGGAATTTGTGCATGGGGATCAACAACATTAAATCACCTAAGACCACTAATAACCCAACAAAAGGCAGCAGTCAGAATGATAACAAATTCCCACTCCTGACAGCATATTCCACCAATATTCAAAAGTCTAAATCTGCTCACCATTAAGAACATCCATACTTATTCGTGTGCCTACTACATACAAAGAACAATACACGCAAACATAAACCCTCCTCTCAAACATTTCCTCACCAATCTTAACAGGACACACGACCATAACACAAGACAAAGATCTCTTTTTGATGTACCCCATGTCCATAACAGACTGTGTAAAAACTCTATGCACATAAAGAGCCCCAAAATTTGGAATTCATTACCAGAAAATACTAAAGTAACCGGGTCTGAAAATCAATGTAAGACTCTTCTCAAAAGCCACCTAATCACCCTAGACTAAATATTCAATACTCAATATTTAACATTACCAATAAATCTATCAATTACATAAATTTTAAAACTTCAAGACTAGACAATCAAGCTCATATATTGATAAATTACTACATAGAAGTACAATGGACCCCCGCATAACGATCACCTCCAAATGCGACCAATTATGTAAGTGTATTTATGTAAGTGCGTTTGTACGTGTATGTTTGGGGGTCTGAAATGGACTAATCTACTTCACAATATTCCTTATGGGAACAAATTCGGTCAGTACTGGCACCTGAACATACTTCTGGATTGAAAAAATATCGTTAACCGGGGGTCCACTGTAGTATACATACCTAACAAAAGCAGTATTGCCCCTCACCAAATTGTAATAGCCTCATACTGTAAACTACTCTTGAATCATGTTTCATAAAAAGCATTTTTGAATACGTGAATATATTCTTTGGGTTGTATAAATTAGATTCACTTATAAAATTAATAGAACTACTGTACAACTATGATAATTTCTTTAGGGATACGTAATCAGTAAGCCATTAAATTAAGTCAGCCCATAATGCCTAGGCATAATAGAGGCTCTCTTTGCACTGCAACCCATTACTGTAAAAATATAATCTCAATGTACTACTTGCAAAGAGATAAATGAATTTAAATTTGAATATGAAGCAAATGAGACTATACTGATTTACTTTATCACAACATTATAGTACAGTATATAATAATTATACAGGTCCCCACTCTCAAATGAGTTAAGTTTTAACCCTTTCACTGTCGAGACCCCTGTTCACAAACTTGCTCTCAGTGTTGAAGAATTTAAAAAAAAAAAAATCTTATGAAATGATAGGGAATCTTTTCCCGGTGGTAATGACACCAAAAGTATGAAATTTGATGGAAAACTTATGGAATTACGCTCTCGCGAATTAAGTGGTCTCGGTGATATTTACACATTGTCGATTTTGCCCACTCCGAGCCCTATTTTCAGCAAATTCCATTGTTCCAGTCGACTAAACTCATAGCTATTTTGCTAGAACTCCTTCTGTTCCATCGATTTACTACAAGAAACTGCCCATTAACTAATTTCATCTACCAAATAAAGTAATCAGAAATTGGTAATTTGGCCAATTTCATACAAAATTCAAGGAAGGCCAATGTCAAAATAGTGTCCAGAATTAACAATGCAAACATTCCTAGCACTTAAATAACATTCTCTTTCTTCATTAGTTATGTCTCCAGGGTCCTCTTATATTATGCTTGCTTTCCATTTTGAATTTTTATTCACACAAAAAATAGAAGATTTACTGCTATACATACTACTGCATTATTGTAAAAATGGTATAAATAATATCAGCTCATTTGTGACAGCATATTAGACTCACCAGTTGACGTGTATTGGACGCGTAACATGATTTGTTTACTATTGAACATCGACAAAATCCAACATTTCTGTTACTTTGAGATCAATTTCAAGGTACACTGGAACCCCAAGTTTCGAATACATCGACTATTGAACGCTTCAAGTTTTGACTGCTTTTGTCCCGAGTATTGAATGTGCCTTGTGTTTCAAACCGTGTACCAGACCTGTCCGCCTGCACGGGGAGGCACGCAGGTGTCGTGAGCCAGTCTGGCTTTGTTTCTCGAGTGAACATTACATTATATACTAGGCATTTAAAGTGCCCTAGAGTGATAAAATGCATATACAGTACACTCATTACTTACGTAATATTCGGAATAAGTAACATTTTTGCGTCAAAATCTTGGCTCTGTGAACGACACTGAACTGAGTATACATCATTCTTCCCGAACATGTCTGCGCGGCCTGAGCAGTCAAGCAGTCCTGACACTCCATAGTACAGCCAGTGTGCCATTGTTTACCAGCCAGTGAGGATGATCCCACACGTTCATGCGATACATTTTGTATTATTCCATTGTTTTTAGTGCTTGTAACTGATAAATAGGCCACTATGGGCCCAAAGAAGCCTTCTAGTGCCAGTCATTTGGTAAAGAGGGTGAGAAGCACAATAGAATTCAAGAAAGAGATCATCACAAACTATGAAAGTGGAGTGCATGTCTCCGAGCTGGCCAGGTTGTATAAAAAAACCCATACGACCATCGCTACTATCTTGGCCAAGAAAAAGGCAATCAAGGAAGCTGTTGTTGCAAAAGGTGCAAATATGCTTACAAAACAGAGATCACAAACACTTGAAGATGTTGAAACTTTGTTTTTGGTGTGGATCAACGAGAACCAATTATCAGGAGAGAGTGTTATACAGTGGACCCCCGCATAACGATGGCATCGCATAGCGATTTTTCCGCATAACGATTACTTTTATCGCAAAATTTTTGCCGCGCATACCGATTAAAAACCCGCATACCGATTTTCGTCCGAGACGCGTCCAATGTGCCCTCAGCCAGCCTCACATGTGCCGCTCCGTCCCATTGTTTACCAGCCAGCCTCCGCGGTAACATCCAAGCATACACTCGGAATATTTCGTATTATTACAGTATTTTCGGTGCTGTTTCTGGAAAATAAGTGACCATGGGCCCCAAGAAAGCTTCTAGTGCCAACCCTGTGGTAAAAAAGGTGAGAATTAGTATGGAAATTAAGAAAGATTTTGAAGGGTTTGGGGCTAACCCTGAGAAGCCTATGCCAGTTGTGGAATCCATTGTGCCTACTTCAAAGATTAAGGAAATGTGTGCAGAGTGGGTTGAACTGCAAACCTTTATAGATGAAAATCACCCTGACACAGCTGTTGCAAGCCGTGCTTGTGACTATTTCAATGACAATGTTATGGCCCATTTTAGGAAAGTCTTGAAGGAACGGGAGGTACAGAGCTCTATGGACAGATTTGTTGTGCGACAGAGGTCCAGTGACTCTCAAGCTGGTCCTAGTGGCATTAAAAGAAGAAGGGAAGTAACCCCAGAAAAGGACTTGCTACCTCAAGTCCTAATGGAAGGGGATTCCCCTTCTAAACAGTAAGAAGATAATGCTCCTCCCCTCCTCCCATCCCATCAATCATCACCAGATCTTCAATAAAAGTAAGTGTCATGTAATTGTGCATGCCTTTTTCAGTTTGTGTGTATTAAAATTAACATTTCATGTGGTAAAAAAAAATTTTTTTCATACTTTTGGGCGTCTTGCACGGATTAATTTTATTTCCATTATTTCTTATGGGGAAAATTCATTCGCATAACGATTATTTCGCATAACGATGAGCCCTCTTGCACGGATTAAAATCGTTAACCGGGGGTCCACTGTACAGTCTATTATATGTGAAAAGGCAAGGAAGCTGCATGATGATCTCGTAAAGAAAATGCCTGGAACTAATGCTGATATTGATGAATTTAAGGCCAGCAAAGGCTGGTTTGAGAGATTTAAAAAGCATACTAGCATACACAGTGTGATAAGGCATGGTGAGGCTGCCAGTTCTGACAAAAAAGTGGCTGAAAAAATATGTTCAGGACTTCAAGGGGTACATAAGAGGTTGAAAAATTAAAACCCCAACAAGTGTTCAATTGTGATGAAACAGGTCTCTTTTGGAAGAAAATACCAAAGAGAACCTACATTACTGAGGAGGAAAAGGCACTTCCAGGCCACATGCCTATGAAAGACAGGCTAACTCTCATGTTTTGTAGTAATGCTAGTGCGGATTTGAAAGTAATGCCTTTACTGGTGTATCACTTCGAATATCCCAGAGTGTTCAAGAAAAACAGTGTCATCAAGAGTAAATTGTGTGTGATGTGGAATGCAAACAGTAAGGCATGGGTCACGAGGGACATTTTTCTTGTGCAAGAAAGGTATAAAATACCGACAATATGAAAGTTAAGACACATGTGCAACATCTGGATATCTTTATTGTAGACGTTTCGCCATCCAGTGGCTTTATCAATACAGATTCTAGGACATAATAGGAAGACAGTAGAACTATATACAAAAGATGAGGTAATCAGTCCCTCAGCCTTGGAGTTAGTGTTCACAGCATTGTGGTGGTGGTGAATCTGGAGCAAAGGCAAGAAGACTGGCGGTTATATAGGCGTCAGTGGATAGGGACGGGCAGCAGACGAGGGCATCCAGATGTTGCACATGTGTCTTAACCCTTTGACTGTCGCGGCCGTATATATACGTCTTCGAGGTACCGTGTTTGAC